ATCGTACTATTTAAATTTTTTATTGTTACTTATAAGAGTTGTTTTAAATCGCAAATATATTTACACTAAATTTGAATATTTTAGCATTTTAAAGTCAAATAGTTAACCAATCGTGCAGTGAACTTTTGCGAAAGTAAACAACTTGTGTTTCGCGCGCTCATATGACCTTAGCAGTTGCGAGCGCCGTAAAACCCTATACTACTACTACTACTACTCAGAAGCCTGCACCAACGGGAGGAAGGTGCCCCCCAAGGAAGCATCCTTTCTCCTCTCCCCTTCAAAATCAAAATAGATTCCATCGTTAAAAACCCTCCAAAATAGCATAGACAGCTTGTTATACGTTGATGACTTCTGGATATGCTGCCGTTCGAAAAACCCTCCTCTAAGATCTATGGAAAGACAGCTGCAAACGCAGCTGCACAAACTTGAAAAGTGGGCAAACAATAACAGTTTCAAGTTTTCCCTCTCAAAGACGGTTGCAGTGCACTTCTGCCAATCAGGCAGACGTGTACTGCAGCCGGATTTGACGCTTTACGGGGAAAGAATTCCCGTCCAGTACCAGGCTCGTTTCCTCGGCGTTATATTCGACAAAAAAACTCACTTTCATACCACACATAAAAGGCCTTCGTGTGAGGTGGCAGAAAGCGTTAAACACTTTGAAAATTCTATCGCATCCAGAGTGGGGTGGGGACTCAAAGCACCTTCTCCACTTGTACACCTTCCTTGTCCGATCCAAGCTTTACTACAGCTGTCAAGTCTCTGGGTTGGCAAAACCGCACATCCTAAAAATGCTAGATCCAGTGCAAAACCAAGGACTCCGCCTCGCTCTGGGGGATTTTCGCACTTCTCCGGTGGAGTGCCTTCTGGCCGAGGCAAACATCCCATCACTCGGTCTCAGACGCACACAACTCTCAATACAATACGCAGTTAAATAACAGAGCTCAACACCAGGGAACCCAGCACACAACTGCATTTTCAAAACTAACCCAGACACCGTAAACAAATTCCAAGACAACGAAAAACTCATCAAACCCTTCATCCTCAGAGTCCTTGAGGACCTCAAAAACATGCAACTTTTCCAAACAAGACATCCGACAGTTTCTTTTTCCCGACCTCCCTCCGTGGCACCCCTCCAAGGCAAAAGTAGACTTACAGCTGACCACACCAAAACAAGCACAACCACCAAAACATTTAAAGCAGAATACAGAACAGACGAAGTCATTTTTACTTGATTGCGCATAAATACCTCCTTCAGGGAGATGAGAAGCCGTTCTGTGTCGGATACGACTCAGATTTTACCATTAGACACATTTTAAGGGAATGTCTAGACTTCGGAGAGACCCGAAGGAAATATTTTAGATTTAAAAAATTGCAAGATCTGTTTTCCGTCGTTGATCCCAACAGAATTCTGGATTTTATGAAGGCCATCGGCCTTTATGGAAAGTTGTGAATAAAATTGCTATAAAATGTTTCATGTTATATAAAGGTTATTTTAAAAACTAAGAACTTACCTCAAATTTTTAACATTTTGAAATCTGATTATTGACCGGAGCCCTGTCGTGCAGTGAATTGTTGTGAATGCAACTAACTTGTGTTTCGCATGCTCATATGACCTTATGCAGTTGCGAGCGCCATAAAACCCATTCAAAAACAAGACCCTCCAAAATAGCGTAGACAGCTTGTTATAAGTTTACGGCTTCCTGATATGCTGCCGTTCCGAAAATTCTCAAGTAAGATCTATGGAAAGGCATGCAGATGCACAAACTTGAAAAGTGGGCAAATAATAACGGCTTTAAGTTTTCTACATCAAAGACGGTTGTAGTACTCTTCTGCTGATCAGGCAGACGTGTACTGCAACCGGATTTGACACTTTATGGGGAAACGATTCCCGTCCAGGAGCAGGCTCGATTCCTCGACATTATATTTGACAAGAAACTCACATTCACTTCGCACTTAAAAGACGTTCGTATGAATTTTTCTTTCATTTTGTTTTGGAACAGGCATGATGAAGGAAAGATCAGAAAAGCTTACTTCAAAATGGCCCGAGACTACCATCCTGATAAAAACCCCGAAGGAAGAGTAAGTCTTAGTCACTTTGGATATGTATTCACTCTTTAAATATGCAGATCCTTCTTTCATGGTGTCATGTAGTTTTTGTCAGGATTTAAGTGACTCAGAATAGGGGGGAGGGTGGACTATTAATGCTACAGTGGACCTTGTTTATGTTTGTATTCTGGAAAGGAAAAAAAAGCACATATTTCTTTCAAAGTATAGACTTTGAGTGTGGGTCAGAATATCTCTCTTCTTTTTTTGACACTCTTCTATAATTTGTTAAGTTACATATCGGGATCAACTCTTCAGCTTTCAGACAACATATTCCAAGTATAGTGAAGTTTTTTACACAAATAAAAATAAATGCCCCCAGGAACTTTGCTTGCTCCAAGTTCTTTTAAACAAGCTTTGGAACTCTCTTTGATTGTTGTTTTTAAGTTGAAAGTACATGGTTTTGCTTTTTTCAAATGTCCCCAGGAAATGTTTGAGAAGGTGAATACAGCCTATGAATTTTTGTGCAGTAAGAGCAAAGTGAAGGAGGGACCTGACCCTCAGAATATTGTGCTTATCCTTAAGGCACAGAGCATCCTGTTCAGCAGATACAAAGAAGGTGAAGCTCACAACATAATTGAATACTTTTCTCTTATTGAATGGTGTCTCAGACTTATTATGTGTTGTTGTATAGGTCAAACCCTTAATTAGATTCTCCACCCAAGACAGACCCGGGTTAACAGAATGAATAGTAGAAAAATACATTACTTTGGTCATAAAGAATGTTACCAGACCATTATAAAGGAAATAGTTGAAGGAAAGATGTGGGGCAAAAGGGCTATGGGTGGACAACGAAAAATGGGGACAGAAATATCAAGGCATGGACTGGCCTAAGTATTAAAGAGTGTATGGCAACAGCTAATGACTATATGCAATGGCACATCAATCTTAGAGACAGAGGTGACATCTACAGATCCAGATTCAAACCCTGACTTTGGACTTTTGTGCACAATAAACATATGTGGACCATCGCGGTGAAATCAGGCGCTCATCAAAATAATGAAATCAAAGACATCTGCAGATTTTTAGTCGATTGGGCAATTTTTTCCTCATTTTCTTTTGTTGGCTCAACAACTTTTATGTCCATTTAAAAACACATTTCTGCGTGGATTGTACTGAAAAGCATTGATGAAATGCACAAAATTTTGTAAATTTTCAATTTCTAAGGACTTTCAGGCTATAGATACATCACTCTTGTAGGTGAAGTTTTTACAATTTATGAGTATGAAAAGTCATGTTACGCTTAAAGAATGTGGCATCAAAAGAAAATCTGCAAATTTGACTCTAATGTTGATTTTCGACCAATTTGTCCCTTATGGATTACGAGAAGTAGCTTTGTCAGCACGCCTCACATATACTCTGTAGTTGTTAAGAACAATAAAAAACGCTGCAGTCTTTTCTTGTAGGGAAGTACATACAGAGACCTCTATTCTTAGGTGTACTAGTTTGATATTTGCTTCACTGAGATAGATATCTTGGCCTTCTTTCTTTATATTGTTCTTCCGTACTATTTTTCTGACACATGAGTCTGTTGCTTTTTAAGAAAACTGTTTGTGGTCAATATGAAATTCAACTGATTGAAACAATCAAAGGAAAGGTAATTTTCAATATGTTGATTATATCCTGTACCATGTTGGCCGTCCACAGAACTTCAACCATACAAATATGCTGGTTACCCGATGCTCATCAAGACAATCCGCATGGAGACAAATGACGACCAGCTGTTCAGCAAGTCTGCCCCACTCCTGTCTGCCGCCTCGGAGCTGGCCTACCACACAGTCAACTGTTCTGCTCTAAATGCAGAGGAGCTGAGGAGAGAGAATGGAATTCAGGTAAGTCTTCACATTAATAATGATAAAGATTGTAATAGTTAACATTTATATGATAATTTTCTTTCTGTAAATGCTCAATTCGCCTTGTTACAAAGAATTAAGCACCCTCATAAAGGCTGGTAATTGTGTAAAAGGTAATGCCCATGTGGCTGTCATGTACAAAAACCGGAGTCTGTCACTCCTCCAAATCCCCCACTAGACCGCCGTCCAATCCAGGACGGCAACCTAGAAAACACTCTGCCTCCCCCGCAAGGAGTCAGAGTGTTTCTTCGAAACCGGGGCCTTTGAGCTCCAAAATCAAAGCTAAAAAGATATAATGGCGGTCCTGCAATG